TGGGCCGTTCGTTTTTGATTGAATCTGGGCCGTCCGTGCGATTGTATCTGGGCCGTCCGATCGCGCGATTGATCTGGGCCGTCCGATCGCGCCCACGCGGATTGCCAACGTGGCCCGTTCCGGAGCGACGTGGTCTTGCCACGTGGCAGGCCCCGGTTGGCCGGGACTGCTGACCGAGCCTGCTGACGTGGCTGCCGACGTGGCTTTTTTTTTTTTTTTTCTCGGTCCGAGCGCTACATTAATTGTCAAATCTTGATACTGGTCCACGAGTAGAGGGATATCCCTATGGACTCTTAAGGGTCCTAGTAAATAGGTTAAAAATGAAGAATTGTTGATCCTATGCATGCAATTGAAATGTCATTTAGTTAATTGTCTTCATATGTTGATTTTGAAAAAAAAAAAACTGTAACGGTAAGTATCGAATAAAAATTTTTAAAGTTAAATGTATTTACTAAAAGTAAAGGCTCTATTAGTTATTTTCTGATTTTTACCAATATTCAGTTTTCCGTGTCAATGATTAGTGTAATATTCTTATTGGGAAAATGTACCTCATTCTTTCATTAACCATTTCAGATCAAGAAAATTAAGATACAGATTATGATCAGTAAAAGGGTTGTGAGTAGTTCACCTCACTGACTCCCTTCAAGTGCTAGTGAAGGTTACCCCTAGGATACTTATTTATTCGTTTTTTTTTAATTATCGTTTATCTTTTTATAAACTACATAGAAGGGACATTCCCGTATCCGTATTAGAAAATTCAATTTATTATGTAAGTAATGTAAACCCAAATATTGTTATTCATTTCTGCATTTAAAATATAAATTCATTTCTTTTAAAGTTCCAGTTTACAAGCTCCATCGTTAACCTATATTTAATTAATCAAAGGGTCACCAACCATATATAATTTTTTATTTATTTTTAATTTGACTTTAATTTAACCATAACAGAAGAAATGGTGAGGGATTCTTACTATAGATCAGTGTCCAAAACACTGTATTTTTCATTAGGCTTCCCGACGGTTCCCAGTCCTTAACTTTCTTAGATTTTTTCTATTAAAATCAGAACTTACGTCAAATAACATGGAAATATGCAAAAAAGACCAAAAGGGGGCCAAAAATCTCACCTGGGGTCGGTTTAAGGTTCCGGCATGGCGACACCGCCGTGCTCCGTCATCGCTTCCGCCTTCTACGGCAGCTCCTCCTCTCGATCAGGCCAGTTTCGGTCGGTTCTGGGTGAAAACCTGCTCAATTTATGGTTAGACGACATTTGTTGATAGAAAAAGGGAGAGAACCGGAGCTTATCGATGATGTGGCTCTCCGATACAGTGGCCCCAACAACTCCACCGCTTCTTCCTTGCGGCCACGGATTTTCTTTGGTTACCCTATACCAAAAAACATGTCAAATGACCTAGAGTCAAGAAACAGAAAGAACAAAAAAAGGGTTCAGGCTCACCAGAATGTTTTTCAATTTTAGGTGTAGCGACTCAGCCGAGCTCCGCCATTCGTTTCTAGCTTTTCCTCAAATTTTCCTGCATCAAGAAGGATTTAGGATAATTTAGAATGGAAAAAAGGGACGAACGGAAGAAAATTTGCACTTACTGGTGTCGATTTAAGTCTCTAGTACGGCAGCAACGGTGACCAGCTTCTCCTTCGGCGACTAGTTCGCTTTCTGGCCACCTTCTTCTTCTTCTCTAGTGGTCTTGGCAGCTAGGCTTTGGGAGCCCGGGTAGAGAAGTTTAAATACCTCTTCGTCTTCAATTTGGACCATCCGTGCAGGGACACGCGGAGCAACGAAGGCTGTCTGATCGTACCTAATGAGAAAATGATATAGACTGTCCGATTGAAAACATGCGGGCCATTTGATCAAACTTATTTGGGAAATCAATCTCAACAGTTCACACGCTCGGGAGCGGCCCTAAGTCGTTCAATTGACTTGACACGTGGATTGCCCGCGTGGCTTTCCGTGTGGAACCATGTTGGCGTGTCCGTCACGTCGCGCAAGGCGATTTGTCGTGCTGCTGACGTGGCCGTCATACATGGCGTATTTTTTCTTTTTATGATTTGTCCCATGTTTTTTAAATTTTTTTTAAAATATATTCTCATCTTATTTACAGTTTGGTCTTGACTTTTGAAAATTATTTTAAACGCGTTCAAAATGTATATAACTTTAAAAAAAAATTTAAAAATTAAAAATTACAATTTTTATAATTATTATTTAAAATAAATTTTGTCATCCCGAGCTTAAATTCTTGGTTCGAAGTGTTACAAATAGAGTGTTTAACAATTTTTCATATTCACTGATTTTTTAGTCAATGAGAATTTTTTACTATATAAACTTATCGTTCCTTTTTCCCTCGCCCATTTCCACGAAAGAGTCACAGATCTTAATATCTTTATGCTAGGTTATAGCGAAAATATGAGAGTACTGGTCTCTGAAGGTACCACCTTTCAGCTATAGATCCTTCCACAATTTAATTCTATCTCCCTTGTCAACCTTCTACTCGATGCACACTTGAAATATACCTCGACCCACTTCGATCTTTTCCACCATCCTTTCCCATGTGGTCTTGACGGTCCTCGAGTAAACCACCTTCTCTCATCAATATTAAATTTTGCTACTATCACTCTTCTCCAAAGCATATCTTTCTTTTTCATGAACCTTGACAACTACTTACCTTGTAAAACTACATTCATCTCCATCATGAACCGCATCCCCAAACCAGGGTTGTGTCATATTATATATATACGAAGCCTAAGTATAAGTTTTGCCACATTAAATTACATGATTAATAAAATATTAATTATTTTAAAAATTAATCTAATTATCTTTAAGTATAGATATTTAATTAATACGATTCAATAAATATAATATATTTATAGCACATAATTAATTTAATTAGTCATGTATACTAATTTATTATAATAAAAAAATTACATGTCTTTTAAATTAAATTTTTAAGATTATGTCAGATCTTTTACACTATTATTGTTATTTTAAATAAGAGAATCTATACAAGTATTTTTTTCGTCAGAACATGTGATAACTTGTTAGTATAAAATTTAATTTTATCAACATAATCTCGTTAACATACTAATAAATTTAGTCTTAAACTCTACTAAATCAAGAATTACTAATCAGTTACTATAAATTTATAACATATGCCCAAAATAATGAATTTTACAATCTTTAATAATTTGAACTTGTACTCTTCAAATAAACTCACAAAATATGAAGTTTCTTAGTAATTTTTCATTTATCTTCGTCCTCAATGTAAAAGTACATGTAATTGATTCAATTCTATGAAGAATAGAGGTGCTCATTCCTCTCCAAGTGGACTATTTTATTTAATTCAATTTATCTGTTTCAATTAGAAATAATTAAATAAAATTTATAAAAAAAAAAATTAAGTAGTCATAATCAGTCAAATCCATAATTGATAATATTATTAAAAAAAAACAATAATTTATTTATTATCAATTCATAATTATTATTTTTTGAAGTTTATAAAACTTCAATTATTTGTTCCTCTACTTATGCACCAAATATAGTTCATTGCAAAATACGTTTGGCACATTCTGGGTTTTGCACTTAAAAAGACTTTTAACTTGGTATCTTTTATATTTCATAAAAACATATTTTGATTTGAGCGATCACAAGGCCAGATCAAGCATTTAAGCAACAAATAATTCATTATAACCAAACAATTCATTACACTATTTGGTCTTTTGGCTACAACCACACACTATCTACTTGAACAAGGAACACATGGTAGTCTTGAGACATACCCAATAAATTGTTTTCGACCATCCATCCATCATCATCAATCTAATACCCAGAAACCTCCTGCCCGATATCGAGACAACAAGAATTTATTCTGTGCTAATAACATTCTTACTACATACTACATTCTCACAAAAGAACAAATAAGAAATTGGCCACCAACTTTATTGGTTCCCATGACAGCTTCTCTGTATTCAAAGCATATCTTTTTTTTTTCTTTCAGTTGCTTCTTCAAATAAAATTAACAATTTCGTTTCTGTAAGGGAATCTTATTTGTTTCGCCTATGAAACAAATTCAACCAACCAAATTGAATTCAGAAACCAACCTCAGAAAAGCCAGCAACCTTTGAATGGAGGTCACCTTGAACAGCAGTAGGAACTTTTGGATTGGTTTGATCCGTCATTCTCGTTTTTAACCAGGGTTATCCGGTTGACAGTTAATTCAGCTTTGTATGAATCAGAGTTGAGGACCTTCCTGCTGACATTGTTGTAAATTTCTTGAATAACAATCTCAAAAGCCTTCTTCACATTTGTTGAATCTAAAGCAGATGTCTCCATGAAAAACAACCCTTCTGTTTCTGCTAGGTTTTTGCCTTCCTCAGTGCTCACGTCCCTGATGCTCTCCAAATCGCATTTGTTTCCCACCAGCATCCTTGCCACCGTTGTTTCAGAATGAGCTGGCAATTATTACTATTTCGTCAAGCAGAAGGTGTACAATTTATACATTCAAGAAATACAATAAACACTATATATTTAGGGAATAACTAGCCATAACAGAAATATAAAGGAAAAACGAACAATGGCTTCAATAACATAATCCTCTTGGATGAAATGTTATCCCTCATTAATTGTGTGACATCAGACCTTTTAAAAAATCCTTTTGGATGAAATGTTATCCCTCATTAATTGTGTGACATCACATTAGTTTGTTAGAGAAGAGACCTAACCATTATTGTAAATATTATACTATACTAACCAATACAAGGCTAGTAGCAATTCAATCACACAATTAATAGGGTATGAAATTTTTCCTCACGTAATACCATACCATACTAGCCACTATAGCAGGTACTATTTCATGCTAACCAATACCACTCAATCTAACAGCAATACAATCACACAACTAAGAGATAACATTTCCATTCAAGTGAAACTATACCATACTAACCACTACAGTAAAATATTATTTCATACTCACTAGCACGGCCCATACATAGAATATTACTCTAATAGCAATTCATTGCAAGTAAACTTTCATCTATGATCAAATATCGGTGAAAACAATTCATATCGTTTAAACTATGTTAATCAGCTGAAATATCTTTGAAAGTCAATTTAAAAAATTCTTCTTGTAATAAGATTCTTTTTTCATATTTCTTTTTTCCAATATTTCACTTAAATTTAAAGTGAAAAATTGACAAAGATATGTTAGTTTTATTTATTGTACTTTATACAATATTATTAGTTTAACTGATTTAGCATACTTGTAGGCTGAATAATTAGACAAAATCTGTCTTGTTTGATTTTTTCTAGAAACAGTGTCTTGTTTGATGTTCAATATAAATTATTAAGCTAAATAATATAAAAGAAATTTTACTTTTCATTCAAAATTTGCTTTTTAAAAAATTTTTATGTGTATATATAAAATTATATAGAGGTAAATTATTCTTTTGAGATAAAAATAAAAATATTATTATACACAAGGGTACCAAAGGAGTACCACCCGTATACAAAAATAATCACAAGTCAATCAAATGGTCAATGATAATTTCAATGTCTTCTCAATCAAATACGTCATAACCTAACAAAATCAAACCAAAAATGTGAATCCATCTATCCCTAATTTTTACAATATAAGTCTTAATCCCCTCAAATGCCCGGCATTCCTCTCTCTTCACAACGCAAAAAATGGTAATCGGAATTAAAAGTAGATGTTTCTTTTTTTTTTACATAAACCAACCTACGCCCACAATTCATTACTAACAATATCCGCCATAACCCAGCTCAATCCCACAATCCCAAACACATATTCTCAAATGTAATACACCGATGGACACCACAATAACAAATTGGTAGACAAAGATTATGAATACAAAGATACACCATTTGAACTCAAAACCGAGATAATGACTAGTAAAATATTAACAGCTTCAGCAGTAAAGCAAGAAAAAAAATATCATTCTTGAGTCTAAAAGCAAATGCAGAAGACATGCCTCCTACCATTATATGTATAGAACATAGGGAAAGATGTATAATTGTACAATTCCAGCTAGCAGTTAGAAGCCAACCAACAATCAACTTTCTTATTTTATTAAGACATACAACGACCAGAATTGTGCAGCTAACAGACCAGAATAGGAGAACTACCCACTGGTACAAAATTACCAGATATCAAGCAAACAAAAGCTCAGTAGTTTCCCCAATTAAACTCAGTTCTTATCATTTTAATCCAACAAATAGAGAAAAAGAAAAATGTTAGCCAACTGAATTCAAACAAAATTAAGCAACGACCACTTTTTACTCTTTCAGCCCAACTTGATTGAAGTACCAATTTTCGTAGATAATAAAATAAATGAGGACAAATTTTTTGGCAAGAATAGAAAAAGAATCTCGAATTTTAAAATATGAACTTAAAAAATGGCTATAAAAAAGATGCATCAAGGTCGTAGATGAGGTGGTAGTCATGACTCGCAAACATCAATTACCTGGGCATGCGGGACGATTTCCAACTACTAGGGCCAATACACCAACCCAAAAAGAGCCATTTCAAATTTTCCAGTGGAAGAAACAAACCAAAAGAATTTTCCAATAAACTGAAGGGAAAAAGCATCACCAAAATGCTTTGTACATATGGGCCTAAAAAAATTATAATAGAGTTCTATCAGAATGGGAAAAAAATAATAAAGCAGGGTAGAACACCTCTCAAAGGGCTAACTAACTTCAGCAGTAGCAACCAAGTTAACTAACTTCCACTCCCCTCAAAGGGCTGATTCGTTACTAACATGGCCAGCCATCTGTGAGAAGTTGAAACCAAATAAAATGGTTCCCCTCATTTTTTTCCTGCACTGAGTTTGTGTTGTGGGATAACATGAACAAGCTTTCAAGAGAGTTAAGTTGAATCAGAAAATTATCATGTCCATTTGACCTCATGAAAGGTCATGTTAAATTACTCTTGAAACTGGAAAACAGTTGTACAGTAAATCCAGAGTGTCTCCACCTGTGACCACACCCAACTCCATGGACCTAAGAGAAATATTCCTTAGATATTAACTATTTTCTTTGGATAAAAGTAGTTGCAGGTCCTTAGATATTAACTATTTTCTTCAGGGTGGATCACCAAGGCTTATATCAAGGAAGAATCACAGAGACATATAGCCTACAGTTTGATGAATTACAAATAGCACGAGTCAGACAGCTCCAACCCAACCCCATAAATATAATCCTTCCAATGTTGAAATGCAAACCAACTCAACTTGAGATGAACAAGTCAATAACCAAAACTCAAATAAACCAAACTGGAGTGACTTAATATTTAGATGACCCAGATGCTAAGGCTACATTGAGAATAAATCCAAATATTTGGGGGAATTCTCATTTGCAAATTCACATGTAACTTAATATTACTAAAAATGTAAACTCATATGAAAATTTCGTGAAATTGGAAAAATGCATTACAAATTCTATCAATTCTAATAGAATTTGAAATGTATTCTTCTATTCTACATAGAATTCCATTTGAAAATAATTTTTCATTTTAGAAAGATTTTCACCATCTTCCTTTTTAGAAAAGGACTTTCATATTTTCTAATTGAACTAAATGTAAGTTTGTAAATGAATTCTACAAAATATCTATAATGGTTCCAAACATAACATCAGACAACCAAAAACCTGAACAGCCTGATACCCTGAATTATTTACTATCTAGAAGAAAAAACCTGCTTTTTTTTCTTTTTTTGAGGAAATACAACTCAAAACTTGACAAATCCAAATGCACTTGGAAAACCAGAAAATAATCTAAAATATTTGGATTCTAAATCTGAAACCTTAAACTTTTCCTGGCTACTAGGAAAATCTACTTTCACTTGACCCAAATCCTTACCTGAATCTACTGATTGTCATCTCTAATTTTATAGTTATATAGGCACCGAAGGAGGCCTGTCAAAGAACACCCACTTCCAGTAATTTCAAAGATTGCTTAGGCCAATGAAGGCGAGTACACATCATTAGCGAAAAGATTTGAACCAGGCAAAACAAAGAAGTATCTTGCACTCTTTTATCCAAAAAAGAAGCTTATGGCCTCTTCTGATCACATCAAAAGCCGAAATCACTTACGAGAAAAGAAGCTCAAATCTACCTACTTGCGCTAATTATGGTGTATACTCTATGTTAGCAGGATCTGGCAATAACATATCAGCAAATGTATCAAAACAAGCACCAGAGGATATTAACCAGGCTGTTCTGATGCCTTGGGGTCAAGGTAGAAAATGATTTGGTTTGGAAACCAAGAATACTATCATGTAGTAGAGTAAAAGAAGTTGTAGGTTGTCATAAAATACCTGGAACCATCTAAAGTAGAGAAGTAAAACAGCCATATTGGAATTATTTGTGAATCAAGTATTCTTGAGCTCTTACACTCCGACACCCTAGTGTATACAAAGGAGATGCAAGTCCGGTGCAGAATGTGATACATTCTAACTTTCCTAATGTATACAAAGGAGACGAAAGGTCACAGTTATGACCAACATGGACAAAAGCCAGATTAACAGAAAAATTCATAAAAGGTGAGACATGACATCCCAGTTTTATATAATTTCTTCTATTTTGGTAAATGGATCCAAAAAGAATATTACTTTTAGCGTTATTCTAGTTGAAGTAAAAAAGAAATCCGTCATTCCTTGTATTATTCCTAAAAAGCAATATTTGTTGAAACGGATCCAAAAATAATACTACTTTGATCTCAACACATGATGGAACCAATCTACCCCTCCAAGGGAACAAGCAAGTTATGGCTGAGGGCCTCGATCATTTAGAAAACACCTTTCATTCCGTCCATTACTCTCAAGTGCCCACTAAGTGGGTTGGGTGTTCCACATTGCTGACACACTCCACCTCGCATTGGTGCACTCACCTAGACTCGTGATCCTCTGATATCACGGTTGCTGATCTAGGGGAATTTTTGTAAATTGCTTTTGAAGAACACAATTTATCATTGTGTAGAATACCTTGTTGTTAACTTCCGTTTTGCAGCTGAAACTCAGAGGTGGGTGGCATCTCGGCTATGTTACAGAATATTACATGCATGAGCACGCACCACACAAGCTGAGTACGCAAAATTGTTTATTTTTTCTGCAAAATGGAGTTCTGTTATTTGTTTATATCTTATTTGCATGATGAGTGATGGAATTAATGGAAGTTAAGGAGATTTGCAGGATTGGTGGTAACTACTTGTCTCATATTAACGGTTGTGTTGTGATTGCCTGTTGAATAATTGCCTGTTGAATGATTGCCACCTGTTGAACAAATGAGCTGACAACATGTGGCAATAATCTAGCCACCAATGACATCATAGGTCCCATGTGGAGACATAAATACATAACGCCTGGCAACCAAAATACTAGATATAATTAATGTCTAATCCACCACTCCAGCAGTCACTAAGTTAATAATACAAGTCATTACTACTCAGGCGACAGAAGCTCACTCTTATGAACAGATAGAGTGTAACAAAAGTAACAAAAAGCTTTCTATGAACAACATTGACACTCTACAACAAATTTTCTCATGTTGTTCTTCTTGCTCTCTTCTTAAAGTAAGACTAACCTAAGCATGAAAGAAACCCTTTTATTTTTTAACATCAAAATTAGGGTCACTTTTTTATTCCTCTATACGGGGGACCTAGATACTTGACATTCCTACCTACTAGAATGACCATCTCTAGCCAAAAGATTTGGTGTCACTAGCTACAAACCTAGTGTTCCCAGCTGCCAGAGAAGCTACAAGACTTCGCATCCCACACCATGGCATCCTCACCTAACAAGTCCCCTAGATACCAAAAGTTACAGTTCCAGCCTAGTCAACCTAGTAGGCATTAGGGTGCCTAACACCTTCCTTAGATCATGCCCAATTTTCCAACAGTTAATTGGGGTGACCAGCTAGATCTCTTGCAAAGGTTCCAAAGTTACATAATCCAATGAGGCTCAAGTTCCTACTAGATGGTGACTCCACCTATTCACCAAGATAGTTGTGGGCTAGTATTATACTCTTCTATGGCTTCAGCCTTGAAAACTTTGTGGTTATCAAGAGCTCATGTTGCAGTACAAATCCATGCACACACTAACATACTCCTACTTAATGAATGATTGGTTGTACAATTGGACTTCTAATGTTCTACCAGTCGTTGTAATCAAGATTAATACGTTGCATTTCATTCCTTGGTTAGCCCAATCCANNACATATTCCTATTTACTTTATGGTTTTATTTAAGTATAGGATATCTTATATCAAGTGAGGAAATGAAAAAAATGGAGGAAAAAAAACATACTTCTACTTTTTCTTCTTTCTCTTTGCCAAGATTTTCTAATAAATTTTTTTCATTTTCAAGCCTTGGGATCAACTGACTCGTCGACTAAAGTCAAATCTGATTATCCAAAATGCAATTTAGAGGTCTGATTCCTTATAAAAGAGAATGAAAGCAACAAATGGAATCACCTATTGAGCAACTGAGAAATGCCAATACTGAACCAACATTGTGACATTGAATCAAAGACTTCTAAGATAAGTAAGGACACAAAAGAGATCAACATTGTGACATTACTTCCCTAGAGTTGAAAAGAGAAATAAAACTCCAATCTTTTAGAGAATTTGATGAAAGTATTGGCTAGTAAGAAAAAGGAATAAATGAAAAACCAAAAAATAGGGGAAAATGGAAAATTAAGAAAGAAAAAGCAAAGCATAAAATAGACCACAAAAGGAAAAATAGAAAAGAGAAACAAGAAGAAGAAAAAGAAAGGAAGAGAGAGAGAGAGAGAGAGAGAGAGAGAGAGAGAGAGAGATAATACTAAGAATCTAGGGGCAACATCGGAGAAAGAATTTAAACCAAGGTATCAAGATTATTTGAGACGAAATGACATGTTGAGAGGAATGAAAGAATGGCACACAAAAGGATAAAGATTCTGATTCCTAATACAGTCATGAAGTGGGAGGAATGTTACTTGTTTTTTCTTTTTCTTTTCTGGATAAATAAGCTGGTAATTGTTCTTTGGATAAGTCAGAGATGTATTCCAATCTTTGGACATATTTGAAACCCATGGTAAATCCCATTGCATTGAACAGTTATTATTGACCATTTTCTTGATTCATCCCTTTTTTCTTTCCATTTTACATTTCTTTACTTCACTTTTCCCATTTTATTTTTGCCTCAATTATCTGTTATAGTTCTCTCAGTCAATTTTCAAGTAAATTCATCATCACCTTTTCAGTTGCTTTCGACCCATTTTTCTTTTTCTAATAATGCATCTTCACTATGCTCTTTTTTTAAAGTCTAAAATCTAATTGATTGTTGAAATCCAAATCATTTGGTTTGGAAATCAAGAGCACTGTGAAAAAAAGGGTACCCTTCTTGACTAACATTGTAGCTTTCTGTGAAACATCTGGAACATTGTAGCTTTTTGTGAAATATCTGGAACAATCTAAAGTAGAGAAGTTAAACAGCCAGATCACAGAATATTTTGAGAATCAATGATTCAAGATTTTACAATGAGCTCTAACATTCTGACACCATATATACTAACTAGAAAATCAAGTCCAGCTCCAGAATATGGTACAATCTAGCTTTATGTAACCTATAAAACCTAAAAGAAAATGCAAAGTTAAGGTGTACCAGACATGGAGAAAAGCCACATCAACATCCAAACCCAAAAAAAACAAAAAACAAAAAAAACAAAACATAAAAAGTGGAACACATAATATCCCTGTTCTCTTCCATTTCTTCCCTTTCTGTTAACTAGATCCAGAAAAAATATAGTTTTAGCCATCTTCTAATTGAAGTCATTAAATTCATCATTACACCTTTAGATCTAAGACTTGAACACCAGCAGAAGCACCACTGTATTATAATCAAAGAGAACAGAAGGCAACCCACCCTGGCCACAAAACGAGACAAACAAAAAAGAAAAAAGCTAACAACCAAGTTAAGTGCCTGCCACTTCATAGACAGCATGGAACTTTTATAATATTATTAAACCCACAGACACCGATCCGCAGTTCACCCAATTCGCAAAAGCAAGAAAAAAACCAAATCGGCATTACTTAAATCGCTGGTTTAAATCCTCCAAAACCCACAAAGAAACACCCAAAATCGTCACATGGGTATCCTAAAACGCATTTAAATCAATCATATCAACCTACCAAAACACTTACTTGAACTGATCAACCCACCAAATGAAGATCGAGCAAAGAGAATCAAATCCATCAACAAGAAAATTAAGCACTAAATGGATACTTACTTTTGAGCTCGTCGAGCCAGCGACCAACACTCTCAAACGTCGTCTTGCGGCTGATATCGTAGACAATTAGAGCACCCACAGCACCTCTGTAGTACGCAGAAGTGACAGCACGGAAGCGTTCTTGGCCAGCAGTGTCCCAAATCTGAGCTTTAACTTCTTTACCCTCAATTTCCATGCTCTGAGTCTGGAACTCGACCCCAATGGTAGCTTTTGAGTGAGGATTGAACTCGTTGCGTGCATAGCGAGAGAGAAGGTTGGATTTGCCCACTGCAGAGTCCCCAATTATCACTATCTTGAATAGATACTCTTCTCCTCCCTCGTCATCTGACATGGTCGCCTTCTTTTATTTACTTCTTTCTAGTTTCTCTAGACAAGATTGATTTAAGACCCCAGAGAGAGAGAGAGAGAGAGAGAGAGAGAGATGTAGCGATGGAGGTGATGTGTATCAGGCTGGCAAAGACATCCTGCGCATGTAGTGGACTCATTATAGGGATTTGCCTTTTCTTTTTGATTTTTTTTTTTTAATATCTAAAAATGACTGCAGAATATTTTAATTTCCAATTTTGTAATTAAAAAATTCACCGAAATGTTAGAACATAATATCTAATAGTAATAATAATTCCTTTTACAAATTGAATATTTTGTATAGAAGAATTTAATAAAGAAGATAACCATATTGTCTAAACTCCCTCAACTATCCTGTAAACATGCTGGATATGCATGTTTATATGTGTCTAAGTATGATATATATATATATATATATATATATATTAGTACGTTGTAATATATAAAGAATTTGTACTAAATAAAATTTAAAATTAACTCTTTAAAATAAATACGTAATTATTGTGTCAAAACCTGTTGGTATTAACATATCATATATGAATAGTTTATACAAATTAAAATTTAAAACACTTTGATTGAAATTTAATTAATTTATTTGAAATTTTTAAATGTACTTTTAATTTCATTTGAAATTTATTTTATGTTAAAATTTTATCATTTTTATAATTAAGTGAAGCATGAAATTTTAAATAAATTTTAGAAGCTTAATTCCGTTTATTTTAAATATAAACTAAATTTTTATTTTATGTTACACATAAATTATAATTATAAATAATTTAAAATCAATTGAAAATTAAAGTACATTTTTTTATATAAAATATCAAATAGATATCTTAATGAATAACAATATTTAAAATTATGATATAATAATAAAATTATTTTTAATTTAAAATTTTAATATTATTACAATTTTGTATCAATGTAGAACTATTATTTTATATAAACAACAAAATACAGAAATTAAAAATTTTTAATTAAAATGTAAAGAAATTATACCCTTTAAATCTAATAAAATCGTATCAACACTTACTATTTGAAGTGAACTAAAGAAATCGGATCCATGTTATAATCCAATAACTATTAAACTTTTTTGTTCTATGCTTTAATTTAATTTGCAAAATTAGAATGTAATGTCATCATTTACCATATACAAACAAATATATTTATTTGATTATAGTAACAAAGAAGACAAATTAAAAAAAAAAAGTATTGTTTTTGTACTATCAATTCTAAAATATAAATTATATAAAGAAGACAAAAATAATAATTTGTTAAAGATCAAAAGTATAAATGAAATGTGTAATAACCCCAAAACTCTAAAAGTAAATATATAATAACTTAAGTACGTAAATGAAATAAAAGATTAAGGTTTACATTGCTTACACAATAACTTAAAAGTACTTAACAGCAATACATAATTTATTTTTTGAAAGAAATATGAGAAATAAGAAAACAAATGAAAAATAAAAAGTATCTAGCATCTACTCGTAATCTTCTTACGGATCGGATTCTGGAATCTAGTTCTCTTGATTTGAAATAGTTAA